TTCCACTCAGGGGAGAGAGCCTCATTGACACCCTTGGGTATAGACACGGAGTCAAGAGAGGAAAGAAAAGCTCAATAGGAAGGAGAAAGTCCACTGTAGGATAGGTACTGTGAAATACAATGAGCAATACACTTTCTCTTCCATTTTCTAAGAGCAATAGGGAGGTCCAGGTTATCTGTAATGGGGTTAGTAGAATCAATGGGAACTGAAATAGTAGAGGGATAAAGAGGAATACCTGAATTCATATCAGCTGAAGCTGGAGTCTCCAAGGAACCGACAGGAAGTGATGTGAGTTTTGTTGCAGTGGAATCAACCTCCTTGTGAAGTCTCTGTCGTGAGTAATGCTGAGAAGCAGGACGCAAGGGAGGTGGTAAGGTAGGTGACATAGGAGGATTAGGCACAGGAGTGGACACATGAACTGAACCGGAAGAGGAATAGACTGATCACTCACTTCCCTAAAACACTCCCCCTGAGAAGGATTCTTCGAGAAGAAGTATGTGGACTCAAAAAAAGTGACATCCATAGTAACATACCGACTCCTAGAGATTGGACCATAGCAGTTGTACCCTTTATGATTTTCTGCATATCCAAGGAAAACACACTTCTTTACTTTCGAATCAAGCTTTGAACGGTGAGGACCAAGAATATGTGCAAAGCAAACATACCCAAACACTCTGAGAGGAATATGGAACATCTCCCCCTCAGGAAAAAGGAGGCTGAATGGGGTGCTGAATCCAAGTATACGGGAGGGCACCCTGTTAATTAAAAATACTGTTGTGAGAACTACATTACCCCAAAACCGAACTGGTACTGTAGATGTGATCATCATGCTACTTGCAATGTCAACAATGTGTCTATTCTTCCTTTTTGCAACATAATTCTGTTGTGCATTGTAGGAACAACTGCTCTGATGGACAACACCATATTCTAATAGATATGAAACAAGGTGTTTTTCAAAATATTCCCTGGCATTGTCTGATCTGAACACCTTTATTCGTATTCCAAACTGTGTTAGTACCATCTGATGAAATTGCCTTACTAAGGATGGTACCTCATCTCGGGATCTCATCAAGTAAATCCAAGAATATAGAGGGAAAGCATCCACAAATAAGAGAAAATATCGATAACCACCCATAGAAGGAACATGATAAGGTCCCTACACATCAGAATGAATAACATCAAAAGGAGATGAACATCTTTTATTACTAGCTTTAAAGGAATGTCTACAATGCTTTCCAAGTTGACAACCTTCACACTCCAGACTTGACAAACTAACAGACTCAAATAGCTTTGGAAACAATAGACTCAAAGAAGAAAAAGGCAAATGACCTAAACGATTATGACAAAGCATAATCTGACTCACTATCCCTACTAACATGATGACTCTGATGAGGAAGAAGCACATCCAAGAGGTAGACTCCATTCACTTCATGACCACTCCAAATCATCCTCTTTGAATCCAGATCCTGCAAGATGCAATGACCAAGAGAAAAAATTACTGAACAGTTCAGTTTCTTAATCAAACTACTAACAGATAACAGATTAGTACTCAATCTGGGAACATGAAGGATAGAGGGAAGGGAAATGGAATCATTAATCTTGACAGACCCCTTCCCAGCAATGGGAACATGAGATCTATTAGCTGTGGAGACCCTGTCTCTGCCAGAATAGAGTTGATAAGAAGAAAAAATAGTGGAACTATGGGTCATGTGCTCTGAAGCTCCAGAATCTATAATCCAAGGAGGTCCCTCCTTACCTGAAATAGAAACATAATTTGCAGTGGCATGTGAATCACCTGTGTGAGCAAAGAAAGTAGAGTGTGCTCCACCAGAACCACCTGTACCTGGCTGTGCACCTGTTGTTGAACTAGAACTGGTTGTATCCCGTTGGTTCAGAAACTGCCCATACCTCTCAAGTTCGGCTCTTAATGCAACAGTTGCAACAGACTCCAGAGTAGCTGTAGTAGGAGGGGCCGGAATGTCACCAGTGACTGCCATGTGAGCATTTCCCTTCTTATTTTTGAGTCTATTTGGCACAAGATGGGGATGAAGCTTCCAACAAGTATCTCTTGTGTGTTTAGGCTTCTTACAGTAGTCACAGATCAAATCCCTTTTGTTTTCCTTCTTGATTTCATTACCACCCCGGTCTCCACCTTGTTTAGGTCTCATAGTGCTAACCATGGCTGACTGATCAAACCTAGAATTTTTCATCATCACATTTCTCCTGCTCTCTTCCCTTGACACAAAGGCATATGCCTGGAAGAGAGTAACACTGTCCCTGGAAAGAATGTGTTGTCTTGTAATATCATATTCGGGATTAAGGCCAACAAGAAATTCAAACACCCTATACTTCTCTAGGAGCTTCTAGTAGGCAGCTGCATCCTTAGTGGTTTCCCAAACAACTGTCTCCAAATGGTCAGTCTCCTGCCACAAGGTTTTAAGGGCTGAAAAGTAAACAACAATAGGCCTGTCTCCTTGCCTTGTAGCAATAATCTGATTTCTCAACTGATAAGTCCTAGCAACATTCTCCCTCTGTGAATAGGTTTCTGCAACCCCATCGCATATTTCCTTAGTTGTATTTGCCCACAAAAAGTTTTTACTTATATGGGGCAGTATGGAATTACACAACCAAGTCATCACCATATAGTTCTCTTGTACCTACCAGGAGCTGTTAGTTTCGGGTTTAACTTCTTCACTAGTGATATACCCTAACTTCCCACGAGCACCAATGGCCATCTTTGCAGATTGTGACCATTCTAAGTAATTTGAACCATCCAACTTAACTGTAGTAATGGTCCCAACCCCGAAAAGGTCTCCAACACCTCTTCCCACTGGTCTCATTTCACTCCCGGGCTTGTTTTCAACTCTGTTACCCTCCATACTTCTCAAAAAGGGGATAGAAGATTACTGTGATGTGCAAGAATATCAAATAAATCACTTTTGGTACCATGACACCCTTCTGGTGCCCTAGATGGTCCTCCCACAAAAGATTCCTTTTCTGCGGGACAGGAGAAGAGAGAGAAGTGGTAGCCACTCTCTCCAGAAACCTCCAAATCAGGTAGGACTTGAACCGCCCCCTACAGAAAATTCCAAGGAATCCTAAAAAATTAGGGCGCCACTTCCTAGGTCAAAACTGAAGAGTCCAACAGAAACAAGACTCTCCCCCTTTCTCCTGTTTCTCATGATTTTGATGGGAAACCCTAGACCAGCTACAGGGCAAAACAGATCCACCAAAAAAATCCAAAAACTGGGCTTACTTGAGATCTTTGATCAGCCTCTTAAATCACCATGCAGTCGGCCGATCTAGGGTTGCATGAGAAAACAGTTCAAGGAACCTTCGGCCTTCTCTGATACCAAGTAGAAATCACTGTTTGGAAGTCTAGATGAATTCGTTGTGAAGAGAAAGAAGAAGAAGATGAAGAGTTTCAGCAATAGAGAAGAAAAGAGAAGAAAGAAAGAGTAGGATGTCAACCAGAATTGAATTAGATCTGACCGCCAACCCCTCATTATATTTTATACTACTTAAAAGAATAAGAGATTACAAGAACGCCCTTAGTAGGGCGGCTACTAAAGTAGCTGAACAGTCACAACTTAAAAACATAAGCTAATGGGCCTAAAGCCCAACAACTTCCTAACTTAACAACTTAAAAAATAAGAGCTAAATAACTGGGCCCAATAACTAGAAGTCGGCCCAACTCAACAGCAATTTCAACATAGAATAATATACCGCCAATGGTTTCTGCTCCTACCTTAGATTATTCCCTTAATCCTTCAGGTTTGTATGCCCTAGCCACATTCATCTCCTATGAGTATGTTCAGCGATATTATCCCATATCTCCCTAGTTGAATCCATCCAAAGATAATGCTTAATGATATGTGGAAGCATAAAATTCACCAACCATCCAATGACCATGTAGGATCAGTCTTCTCTAGTTTTTTAGTACTACTTGTAAGGGGACCCAACTTCCCCATGCTACAGACATAAATGCATAGATTGAGATCATTCAAGATAATTAGTCCCATCTAGCTTTATTGTACCCACAACATTGAAGAAGTCTATAGGTCCTGTTGGACCAACAACGGACATTATGTACTGTTTGAAATTCACTCCAGACTACTCCATTGATCCAATAACTCAATTTGAAAACCGACGAAAATAAAATAAGGTGATAACAGCCCTAGAACAGCTGACCTACAGTCAACCCAACACCAGTTGCTATGGTTTCACCTACCCAGGAACATGGGAGAAAGAGTGAAAAGCTAGCTGCTCCAGGTGACCTTTCCCAGATCCACTTCTAATGGAAGCCTCTCCCAAGTGCCAGCCTCAGTCTGCCTCTTTACCCTGTAATTGTAATGAGGTACAATTTCTCTGGTTGGTTCAGACCTTGGGAGAAAAACTCGAGGAACAACTTCTGAGCTTCAAAACAGAAACCCAAAATTTCAAAAAGCTTCTACCAACTAGATGATTGCATTAGAGAATGATCAGCAACTCATCTCTCCATAAACTCTGCTGATCCTAGAGTGTGGGTTCAAAGAAAGCAAAAAAAAAAAAAAAGCAAGAACACTGCCCCGATACTAAGAATAAAAGAAAGCAGCAGAAATAATGTGGTTTGATTAAGATCGAATGGAAGAAAAGCAAGAGAAAGGGTTCAGATCAATGAGAGAGGAAAAAAGAAGAGGAGAGAGGGTTTGGAGAAGAAGAACCGTGGCTGTCTAAAACCTAATTTACAGCACAATTACAAGAATGCCCTTAATAGAGCTGTTGCTAAAGTAACATATAACAAGACACTTTAGACCAATTAATAAAATAGGAAAAGAAAAAATAGAGCTCACGACTCAACATCTCAAAACTTCTTCTCCTCTATTTGTTTCTTCCTTCAAAATTATACTCTGATTTTTCTTTTGTTTTATTTTATTGTATCAGTTTTTATTTACCAAGTTTGTATTACTACTCTGGTTTAACTTTTGTTGTCTATAACTTTGTTTTTTCTTGCTTATCAGGCATCTAAGAGCATTAACTTTGAGGTTTTACGTGGCCTTACCAATGCATTACTTGCAGCTAAGAAACCAGATGAGGTTTGCTACATGTTATTGCCATGATGTGGTGTATATAGGCTTCACTATTTTTTTATACTTGTTAAGTTCTTTTCCAAATGAAATTGTTCATAATTTCAAGCATTTCTGGCATTCCTAATTCCTACCTTGTTATATGTACATGGACTATTGAAGAGTAATACCCGGATTATTTTGTGCTTTTCTATCATATCACTGAAATCTAGGATGTTAGATTTTGAGGAATATAGTTCTTTGGTTGGGTTAAGATACACTAGGAGGATTTGTCAAAAGGAAATTGGGAAATTTCATAGCATAGGGTTGGAAGTGTTGAACATTTGAGGAAAATTGAGGAAGGTTGGATGGAAATTTTGTAACATGGGCGATGTAAAGAAGTATAATTGTGCAATAATGACAGAGAAACAGTTTGGCATGGACACTTAAAAGGGGACTACTTGAAGCAATACGTGTTTATATGAAATTGACAGTTCTCACATGCCATTTCTTCCATGCAAGTTTTGAGTGATAGGTTTTCATTTAGCTCCTTTGCAATTAGAAAATTTTGGCAATACAACCAGGCATTTGATTCTCCCTGGTCATACCCATAAGGTCTGAATTTTTTTCATGCAGGCTGTTCAAGTGATTTTGTCTTATCGTGAACAGCTGAATGCTGCAAACTCAAATAGTAGTGATGTTCAAGCTGATTCCAGTTTTAATCCTGAAATAGAAATGCTGAAGGTTGACCCCATTCAGGTGATTCTTCATCGAAAGAATATCTTATATACTAAACAATCACTTGCATTTTGTTTTTGCATGAGTTTATTATATTTTAATAAAAGCATTCAAGTCTTTTGCATTATAATATATTTCTTTCCTTTTGTTCATGAACCCTTGCACTATGATATTAATTCTTTTGGTAATAAATAAAAAAGAAATTTTATTGAAGAAAAGAGGAGCATACAACAAGGTGATATATAACCCAGAGGTTGGGAGAAAAACAAGTACAAATGCCCATTCGCCAACTGAGGGGTGGCTCAGTTGGTATGTTAGCTGGTTCTCTCCAGCATAGACATGGATTCGATTCCCGCAACCACCGACTTTGGGTGGGGGGCTTGTTAGTGTGGTGCATATATATATATGTGTGTGTGTGTGTGTGTGTGTGTGTGTGTGTGTGTGTGTGTGATGGAAAGCATGCAGTATGCTATATTACTATTCTTTTTCATCTCTTGGGGGGTTTTTGACAACATGGTTGGTTTTGCTTTTGAAAACAAAAACATCTTCCACATCAGCAAAAACAATATAATTTTGCTAATGTGGCTCTGTTTTTGTTTTCAAAAAACAAAACCAACCATATTATCAAACACCCACCCCCCTTTAGTCTATGAATAGTAGAAAAACTTAAAATTTACCTTAATTTTTTGTTGGTTTGATTTTTCTGTGAAGATCCATTTCATGCTGTAAGAGTCTGTTTCTTTATTTCATCATTGACTTGTGATTGTGCTTTCCTCGTCACTTTCATTGGACCTTTTATGCTGGTTTCTTCATCATCTATTAGGAGTCACATTGAACTAATGTTTTTCTTTTTTTTACCAAGTCAGAAAATTATCTTCCAAATATTCACAATATGCTTTCAGTCATCTTCAAGATCATTTTTTCTCTTGTGACATTCCTTCACATTGAGAGTTACAGCACAGTAATGCAGAGGCTCTCATACTTCTTTGAATTCCACTGATTACCACCATTATACCATATTACAAATTACATCTATCTTTAATGAAATAAACCATAATTTTAGGACAAGCAATGATAAAATCAGCGAAATCGAATGAATACCAGCCGAGAGGATAAAGTCAATAAATTAATGAATTCTCCCTATAAAAGCAAGAAGAAATAAGGACAAGCTCCAGCCTATGAGAAAAGCTAAGTGAAACAAGCAGATTAATGAATCATACACTAAACAGTTAATCGATAAGATCTAGAAGAACGCACAATGAATTTTTACAAGAAGTTTTTTTATCATTTTCTTCTTTTTTTCATCTAGCAAATTAAATTGCTTCAACTTAGTTTTTCATTTTCCTTGCCTTTGTTATAATCTAATTCATCTGTTTGTCTAATAATGATTAGACACATGACTCCTGGCACCTAACTATAATAGTGAAATAATCAAAAGAACGTAATATATGCATGTGATGAAGTCTGCTATGTGTGAATTGATGCACAAAATCTATAATATATCATGCAGAGAGCATATGCCCTACTATCTGCATTAGAACTTGTATCACTTCCTTTCAAATTAGCTTATCAACTATACATCTTCTAGCTACCTTGCAGTGACTAAACAAAATATGGTTAAAGGAGGGAGGGAAAAGGTTCAAAAAAATATATGGGTCTCTGCCAAAATAAGATCTTAGTACAGTTAATTAACAGGTTAGAATGCAAAAGTTTGCGGGACATAATTGTCATATATAATACCATGCACTAGGGAAACTTCAGTGCCATCAGTAAAATTCAACTTAATGAAACCTCTTAAAGGTGGGGACGAGTGTAGTCTATAAGTCACCTTAAGAGGAGCCTAATCAGCAATTTCCTTCCACTTCCTCATCAACTCACCTGCTGGAATGTCCTCAAACAGCTTCAAGGTCATCACTCAATGAACCACTCTAATTGATATGGCTTCTTTCATCACCTCCCTACACTTTTCTTTTTCCACAAATATTCTTTGATTCCTTTCTTCCCAAAGTGTCCAACAAACTGCTACCCTTGTGCGTCGCCATAGAATTCTAACCCTCTTTTTCGGCCATCTAACAAAGGTAGAGGAGAATAGGCTTTGAACAGTAGGTGGGGAGTTCCATCTGCACCCAAACAAGGAGAGAAACCAATCCCAAATTAAAGAAGAAAAAGGGAAGGATATTAAAAAAAGATAGTAGGATTTAACGTTGGCCAGCCAAGTCTTTTTCTTTGTAGCAAATCACTTGCATTAATTCTTTCCAGATACACTTCCCAACAACAACCACCAGTCATAGGTGGAATAGGTGTGATCCCTACTTCTTTAACAGGAAAGGGCTCTCCCAAACTATCCCTTGGTTGTATAAAATTCAAGAAGAAGTGCAAGTAAAGGAGCCATAGGAAGAAAGGATTCAGATTTGGCAATCACTTTTTGAGTGATCCAACACTACTTTTTCAAGATTTTGAAGCAAGTGTGAGACATTGCAGATTTCATTGTCCTGGAGGCCTCTTCTAAAGCCCAAATCCTAGCCAAATCCAACAGTAAAGTTAGAGGGAACCAAAGAAGATGAAATGGGCTCCCCCCTTTGGGTAGAAAGGGCAAAAAGGGAAGGGAACTGTTCCTTTAAAGGTGAATTACCCAACCATACATGTTCCCAGAATTTAACTAGGCTTCTAGAGCATGGGTTATACCTGATGAATGGCAAGAAGGATGGAAAGGATGGCATGAATGGATTTCCATGGTGAGTCTCTTGTAGCTCTAGCCAAGATTCCAAAATCCCACTCGTTTGTCATAAGACCATGAATACTGGCAAGTGGCAACTACCTTTGCCCACAATTTATTTCTTTCCAAAGGTAACCTCCATAACCATTTCCCTAACAAAGTAGTGTTTCTTTCCTAATGTTCCCAAGACCTAAACCTCCATGTTTCTTACTTCTGCACACCACTTCCCATTCAACTCTATGGTCTTTCTCCTCCCTTGATTCCCATAAGAAATCCCTCATTAGCTTCTCAATCCTTTTACTTACCCCTCACCCCTGGAATCTGAAACACTGACAGAAAATACACAGGCAAATTAGCTAATGTGGATCTGATTAAAGTAATTCTACCCCCAGAGACAAATAGCTCTTCTTCCAAGAAGCCAATCTTTTCGTAAATCTTCCAATCACAAGGCTCCAAAAGTTGCTCCCTCTTGGACTCTCCCCCAAGGGTAATCCCAAGTAATTAATTGGCAATTGTGTAACCGAACAATCCAGAGTTTCTGCTTCTCTAATATCTCCCTCCTCTATATTAAAACTCAAAATGCAGCTCTTATTGAAATTGATTTTTAGATTAGACATTTGCTCAAAAGTTTTCACAATCCATTTTATATTCCTCACCCATCTAATGCCACCCCCTTTGCAAAAAAGGGTTGTGTCATCAACAAATTGTAGGTGTAATTGGTACCTCATTTCTTCCTATCCTTCAACCCCTAATCAAAGATCTGCCATCCGCTCTAGTAATCAGTCTACCCAGAAATTTTCTCTTTCAGATGTGTTATAACCCTGTAAAGTTTTCTAATGTGGATAGTACAAGGTAATTCTTTTTTGATGGATTAGTACAAGGATGGCTCAGCTCCCAAACTTACAGGGATAGTAAATCACAAGTTTACCAAGTAATTATGTGACGTACTATAAATGGTAAGCCTAAGAGTTACTGTAAATAGTAATTTTGAAATAACAGAAAAATTTAAAACCCTATTTTTATGACACCCATATCTAGAAATGAAAAAACTAAAGAAATATCAATATATCCTATCATCCAAAAATTCTGAAATGGGTGTAGGAATGGAAAAACTGATTTGTTTATCCGTGTATTATTTTCTTTCTTCAGCAACTGATTCAGGTGCATGAGAAATTTCTTTTCTTCTCTACTTTTGGGTTAAGAGGTATTTTCTTTCACTTTCTGGGTCTTTATATGAGATGTACTTTTTCAGGTTGACTTACTTCTGGGAAAGGCTTATTCTGATTCGGGCCATATCAGTGATGCTGTTTCTGTCTATGATCAACTTATTTTTAGTCATCCTGATGACTTCCGGGGATACCTGGCTAAGGTGAATTTACTTTATCATGCCTGTGATTTTAATGCTACGTGTAATTTCACTTTGCTCCTTTTTGTTAAGTGAAATGCTAGCATGGCAAAGGCTTACCAATGGATTTCAACTTCTGTCAATATGATTGGACCCATTGTAGGTCACACAACAGTGTATAGATACCTGCTGATGAAATCTTTATGTTGCCTTCTAGTACTCCGCTCTTTTTAACCCAGTCATTTTATTTATAGATTCATCAATAAAAGAAATCAAGTTACAAAATATAATTGTGCTGATGTGCCAAGGAACAAAAATAGGAATGTGCTCAGTAGGTGAGTAGATGCACACCCAGGCAAACTGGCAAAGTTCTTTTTACGTAAAAAACAATGGTTGATTTTAGCTTGTTTTCTTAGTATTTTTATGAACTAGTTTGTTTCTCTATTTGAATTAGCAACTGCTAAACAATGAAAGTGATCTAACATGAAAGAATTATATATTAAAAATATTAACTAGGAGTTGTAACCTTTTTCTATGAATGCAAGGAGATATAGAGAATGCTTTTTTTGGTAAATCAAAGGATGGGAAATAAACAAACAAAAGAAGTGAAGCCCCTATTATGTTGAATGTGGCTGAGGCATAGAGGAGAGGATATGTATTCATATGTTAATTTTAAAGAAAAGATGAAAAGAACTCAAGGGGGTGAGAATGATGAAGAGAAAAATAATGATTACAGAAGGAACAATGAACGAATGAAGGGGAAAAGAACATGATGAAGTTTAGAGAGAAGGAATTAGAAGCAGCAGCATTTTGTAAAGAATACATGGTAAATACTCCTAAGGTACAATTATAAAATACCAGGATGACAAGTGTGAGAATGCAGGTTTGAGTCTGAGAATGACTACTTTGTGCAAAAAATGCCAAGTCAAGTCCATATCTAGCAAAAGAAAGAAATTTTCCTTTCCAATGGCCAACCTTTGGTCAATTCTGTCTAGCACAGGTTGCCAGGTAGAAACAGCAGAAGCCTTAGCCCCAATTGGAAGCCCCAAATACGAGAAAGGGAGGTTACCAACCAGACAACCCAAGGCTCCTGCACACTCTTCAAGAACAGAATTTTGAATGTCTCCAACTCCAATCATGGTGCTCTGTCCCAAGTTAATCTTGAGGCCAGATAATATATGAAAGCAATTCAGAATGCTTCTAAGAAAGTAAGCCTGCTCCACTGCTGCACCCAAAAAGATTAAGGTATCATCAGCGTATTGCAGATGTGATATGATTAAACCTTCCCTACCAATCTTGAACCTAGAAATTAAGCCTTCTTCACACCCTTTAATAATCAGTTTACTTAACACCACCACCAAAACAAAAAGTAATGAGGGAGAGGATCCCCTTGCCTTAATCCCCTCGAAGAGCTCTAAAATTCTGTTGGCACTCCATTTACAACAACAGAAAAGGACACTGATGAAATGCAAGCAAAGATCCAGCTTCTCCATCTTTCCCCGAAGCCCATCCTCCTCAAGAATTCCTCCAAGAAGTCCCACTCCACATGATCATATGCCTTCTCAAGGTCAACCTTACAAATTACCCCTACCTCCCCATTTCTGATCTTTGAATCAACACACTCACTAGCAATCTGTAGAGAACACTGATGTGGGCCCCACAGCTACGGTCCCACTGTGTTCGTAGGGTAGAAGATGTTCTAGTCTGCCTAGGGTTAGCTATTGGTCATTTAGTTGTTTCAGTTGTTATTTATTTCAGTCTTATTTTTTGCTCTATTTGTTATGTAAAGACTAAGGGCAGATCTGTCCTTTCCATGTAATGAGCATAACCTATAAATATTAATTAAAGTGGCGGCGGCAGAACATTAAGCTTCTGCTCCTCCTTTCAACTCTTGTGTTCTACTGCTTCTCCTCCCTCTTTCTCTTCTTTCCTCTTACCTTTCTTCTTATTTTCGATCCTGAAATCCATTAGGGTTCAAGACTGATAACAATCCTGAACTTCTACTCAATCAAAACCCCATCCAGGATCTGTCTTCCCTGCACAAACGCCATTTGGGTGGGGCCCACCACAGCATGTAACACCAACTTTAACCTCCCAGCCAGCACCTTTGCCAGAATTATTAGAATCCAACCTACCTTTGAATTCTGTTAGAATGGTAACAGTAGAAATAAGAGAAAGAGGAGAAGAGAAAGAAGAAGAAGAAGAAGAAGAAGAAGAAGAAGAAGAAGAGAAGAGAATAGAGAGGGAGAAAGGTCTGGTTCGAACAAGATGAAAATCTCTCTCTCCATTCGGCCAGATCTATTTTATATTTCTATTAATCAGGAAAGGACACCTTTGCCCCTACTTAAGTGAGGGACACAAGTACTAACATAACTTTTCACATCAGCAACTTAAACATGAGCATAAAGACAAAATTATCCCTACACAGTAGACATTAACAAGAATTTTATGGGGTTTGTGTGTGGAAAGGGATAATGAGTTTTAATTCTTTAATGATTTCTCACTATTCCTGGAGGGTGGGGAATGGGTCCAGCATTAGATTTTGGGAGGATGATTGGTCTGGGTTAGGGAGGCTCTATGAAACCTGTCCAAGACTGCAAGGCTGTACAGATTGGGTCAGAAGGGTGTACCTATTTCTGATTGTTACGAACTCTGAAATGGTTCTGTGGTATGTACACCAAACATCAGAAGACCTTTACTCTATTGGGAGATGGAGAAATGTGTGGAGCTGCTCCAGATGATAGCAGGAATGCAAGGATGGGAAATCAATCCGTCAGTAGATGATAGCAAGTGGTGGAAGGAATGCAAGGATGGGAAATTTACAGTCAAGTCAATGTACTCAATTTTGACCAGAAACATGGTGGAAGCTGATCCAGTTCAGGGAGTATGGGGGAAACCTGTGCCCCCAAGAGTGGAAGCCTTTGCTTGGCTGCTAGTCAAGGGGTGTATTCTGACTCAGGACAACATAAAAGAGTCAAGGATTTCAACCCAAGCAGATGTGCCCTTTGCTTATCTGGAGAATAAAACATCATGCATTTGTTCTACAGGTGCAGCTTTATTTTCTCGATATGGTTCTATTTCTTCAAGCTGTTTAAGATGGACCAGTGGTCAATCTCAGATCAGGCTGAAATCTTTGGACTTTGGCCAAGAGTTCAGGGTGGTTCTAAGGTCAAGCTGATGTGGAGCTGCATTCCATTCCTGGTGTTCTGGGAAGTTTGGAAGGAAAGAAATAAAAGAATCTTTGAGAACAAGAAAAAAAGTTGGGAAGAGATTTTCAAGGATTAAAGAAAGAAGATTTTGGGGCAGACTTCTGGAGCTCTTTGAATGCTTAATTTTCTGGGTTCTGATGTAATTTGTTTTTTTCCTGACTGTTTCTTGGGGGTGACTTCTTGTCACCCTATGAGCTGTAAATTCTTTTCAGTAATAAAAGCTTTTCCTTATTTATCTTCAAAAAAAAAGTCCATATCTAGTTCCCCCCCCCCCTCAAGAACTGGGTGGCTGGGACCAATAATGGCAAATGGCCCTTACACAAGGTTTAAAATGTTGCTATCAGTGGAAATGTCAATCGTCCAAATATAGGGAACATGTCAGAAATATCGCATGGAAATATTGTAAAAATTATGGACATGGTAGAAACATGTAAAATATGCAAAAATATAGAATGATATTTTATGAAATGATAGAAGAAGCATAGGCACACCTTTTTAAATTATTATCTTGCTCCAAATCATTAAACCAAGCTAAGAAACTACAGTTATAGACAAAAGAATACATTCTGAAGTTGTCTTGTAAACTTTCCTATATATCCTTTACCCCCAGTTGCATTTTAGATCCTTATGCAATGCAGAAAAAAAGGTTTTTTATGGTAAAACAAGTTCTATTCAAGAGGAAATAAAATAAAACAACTTGAGCTTTATGGTCAAGTTCTATCGGTTCCACTACCTAGAGGCATGAGACGTAGTTCAGAACACATAGCAATGTTTTCCCTTCCCCTTCTTTTCCTTTCCTTTCCTTTCTTTTTTTTTTTTCTTTTTCCTTTCTTTTTCCTTTCTTTTTCTTTTTATATGAGGTGTGCAGGAGGTTTATGAAGCGTACGCCTCTAGCATGCCTCATAAAAAAAGTGTATGAGTCATACGCCTCTTGCACCTGAGGCATACGCCTCAAAGGTGTCAGTGCCTCTGGCCTATGCCTCAGGGCGTTTTGGGGGTGCCTCACCTGGAGGCACACCTCCAGGCATACGCCTCCCACGCCTTTTAAAACACTGAAACAAACAAATAAAGGTTTTCCCCCTACTTTAGATTAATCATATCATTCCTCAACTGAAAGTCCCTAACAACATCAAGAGGTTGGGATTATGTTTTATCCCAAATCTCTTTACCAGCTTCACTATATATATAATTTCAGCTGATATGAGGTAACATAGAATTACAAAGTCAGCTCATTACCATGTAGTTCTCCCAAACTCAACGTCCATAAGTAGAGTTTGTAGCATAGTTGTCAAGGTAACGCCTAGGCATCTAGTCATTTTTTGGGGCTTGCCGCACCCAAACGCCAAGTGGTTTATATACTTGTATAAAGTTTTATAATGTTTTCATATGTTTTTATATTTTAGTATATGATATTAATATAGACATGATACATCGTATCATTCTATTATTTTTTTCACAAAATAATATCTTTTATTTTTAGTTGCTTATTGTTAGGGTATTGAGAGATATTCAAAAGTTTAGAACTAAGGAAGATTAACAAGGTTTGAGTGATACAGAGTTCGAAGTCTTAAGCAAGGAAAAACAACCAATTATAGAAGGTATGTTCTTCATCTCCTCTTCTTCTCGGAACAAAAAACGAGGTCTCCACCCCTTCTTTTTCTTCTTCTGGAAGAAAAACAGGGGCTCCACCCCTTCTTCCTTTTTTGGGAACAAAAGTAGGGTCTCAGCCCCTTCTTCTTCTTCCTATTTCTGGAACTAAAATAGGGGCTCTGCCCCTTCTTCTCCACCATTTTTTAGTTTTATTTTTTGTGCTTTCATTTTCAAAAACAAGGATAGGAGCTCCACCCCATATTTTCCATATTATTTTGGTCTTTTTACTTCTTTTCCTACAATTGAAACAGGGGATTAGCCCCTTGTTTTTCTATCCTTTTTTAGACACTAAGCGACACCCAGGCGACTAAGCACTCCCTTGTCGCCTTGAAAACTATGGTCTGTAGGCTCAGACTTCTGGGTTTCACCAGTTAAGTGTCTAAGACTACTTCTCCTTACAATAGCCGTTCAAGCTGATTGGGCCCACACTAAATAATTGACACCATCCAACTTTAAAGTGGTAATCTGAAAACCAGATTTGTTAAACACTCTTCTTGGAATCTCCCCGTCTTTAAATCACCTCCAAATGCCTCCACTAATTATCCAAAAAGGATTTGTGATAATATGCCAACAAAAATAAGTAAAAAACAATCAAAGGACATCCAACACACAACAACCACCAAAGACAATAAGGTTAAAAAAATCAACCAAGGAAACAAGAGAAATACTAATTGATCTCTCCAAAGGCAAAAAGAAACTCCTCTAACTAGCAATGGATCTCCTTATTAGAGAACTAGGTCTGCCTAGGCATGACCACCCGATCCAAAAGGATCCAGAGCAAGAAAACCCTAATCCAAGTCATAAACCCTAGAGAAACGAGAACAACCAGCCATTCTCTCTATGATTTACTAAGAGTCCTCCCATGCTAGTGATTTCCAAAAGACAGCTAAAATTTGCTCAGAAAACACTGAGCACCAACTAGAAGATAGAGAGAGGTTTTGGCCAAGTTGGATTCCCTACATGAGGAGGAGGACATCCCGTGGTGTTTAGTTGGAGACTTCAATGTCACCAGGTTCAGTTTGGAACATTCCAATGGTAGAGTCCCAACCAGAAGTATGAGGAATTTCTCTAACTTTATTGCTAGACACAATTTGTGTGATCTCCCCCTTACTAATGGACTCTTCACCTGATCAAATATGCAAGAAAATGCCATAAGTTGCAGACTTGATAGATTTCTGACCTCTCA